CGGTATCACACTCAAGCACACCGTATGACATTTTAGGTGAAATGTTCAAATTAAAACGATAAATTATTACACCCATATTATTGCCCTATCGACCACCCTCAGACAGGCGTTACTTCTGCCAGACCCTCTACGTCCTGTTCCAGGTGTGCCAGCAGGTGGAAGAGGTTTGGGAGTCTGCCCGAGAAGCAAAAGACAGCGGGCGCCGCCGAGGAGGGACGTCACCCCTGGCAGCACGCCCCCCTCCCAGGCGCAGGTAACGTGCGGAGCTTGTTTTCACCGGACCCGAGGCGCCCGGCTCCGACACTAAGCGGGTCTCCGGATCCTCTTGCGCAGCTGAGCCTGTCCCGTTTCCGCACAGACTCGACGTTTTGTTCTTTGGTCCGCGGAGCCGGGGGACGGAGAATGCACACGGCCGGGCTCAGGGGTACCTGGGGACCCTGGAGCAGCGCAGCCAGGGCGCAACCCGAGGGCCACAGGAGCGGGTCGTGGCCTGCACGGAGGAGCCGACAGTGAAAACGCATCGCGTTCTTTCTCATTGGACAAAAGTTGTGCGGAGCAGCTAAGCCGAGTGGGCAGGTTCACCGACCATCCCCTTGCTTGCCTTGGAGGTGTCACTGGGAATGGGAAAGGTTGTTGATGGCTAGTGTTTCACCCGCGCTGCGCTCCCCACACAGTGGGGGTGAGAGGGCACGCATTCGTCTAACGTGTGTATGTGTGTGGGGGACAGAGATGCACCCGTTCATTTCAGCCGTATCTCCAAACCAGGAGTCCTTTGCCGCCGCCTCCCCACCCCCCACGCCCGCCCGCACACAGCAAGGCCCTGAAAATTTCAGCATGAAACAGTTTCTGAACCGACCAGTAGAGGGGGCGCTCTCCCCATTTTTGGAGTGGAAATGGCTCTTGTGCAAAGTGTGGGTCCTTGGGGCGGGTTTTCAGGGATAAGGAAAAGTCAGATTTACGCGTAGGCCAAAGATGCACTAGCCCAAAGCAGAGCGGTTTCAGGAACACAAGGAGACTCGCATAGTCTCTCTTACCACTTAGTCTGTCTCACTGGACGACTGAGACTAGTGGAGCTCTACCCCTGGACTAGACCAATTCAAAATGCAAATCGATCTGGGATTATACTTCAGGCCCTCACTCCTCTTGAGGTGGTGGGAGCTGTGAGGTGTTGGCAAACTAGAAGGTGAGGGTGAGTGATGGGGCGGGCAGAGAGATAAGGGGCATAAAACGATGACAGACATTAGGGCTCCCTAAGTGTTAAAATTCTCCTCTGTTCAAAGGAAGAGAAAAGCCCTGCGTGATTCCCATAGTGAGACCTGAGTGTGCCCCGCGTGTCCCTGTGGGTGGGGGATACCCCTCCCCAGGGCTCCTGGTTCATTTGCAGGCCTACAGCCTCTTACCAAGTGCTGTACACTTTGATAGTTTATTTCCTTGTCTTGGAACATCTCGAGATGAGGGATATTGTTTTATATTTCCAGCTCCTGACATGAACCATGAAAAATTTGTAAATGCTCAATAAATGTTGCATAAGTGAATGAAATGATTGCCCATAGGTAATGAACCATTAAATAAATTATACTTTATCAGCCTTATTGGAATATTATGTAATATTTAAAATAATTGTTATTTGAAAGTTTCTGATAGAGTATATCTTGAAACTTCTAATCACAAGGAAAACCCTTGTGACTGCCCAAGGGGATGGATGCGAACTGGTTGTGGCAATCATTTCACAATATAGGCATCTGTGAAATCATTATGTTGACCGTCCTAAATGAATATAACGTTATATCTCAATAAAACTGGAAAAACCAAAAATAATAGATATACAGGCTATGTAATAACATGGGAAAAGCTTATGATGTTATATCGAATATACAAATTACTTCATACCTACGTATGATGACGCATGCATGTGAATGAAAAGGCAAAAGGGGAAATGAAGAACTGTGTCTGTGCAGTGGTCTTGCAAGTAGCTCCTTCCTCCCTAGCTTGTTGTTCACTCTCCTTTGTTGTGGGTTGTGCAATAGACAGCGAAACCATTTCTTCCGCCCACTGGGGTGACTCAGTTTTTGTTTCTGATGCCCGAGTACTTTGACTCCATGCTGTTGGCGGGGATCTCACCACCTCTTCAGAATACCTTTTGGTTTCATTTTATTTGCACAGTGCCCGGCACTGCACCCACATGTGCACAGAAGTGGCTAAATATTTTGGATGTAAGTGATTTTAGTGGTGGCAGCTGCTATAAATAACTTCAAGTTCAAAGACACAAACACCGTGTTCTCCCAAGTCAGTCAAGCGCCTCTCAAGTGTTATTAACAGCGAGTCCCTATTTATACTGGTTCTCCCAATGAGCATACTAATGGGTCTGATTTATTAAGGATCAACTGTGTGCCTTCCACTTAAATTTAATCCTCTCCACAAACCTGTAAGGTAGGAAATATTATCCTGCTTAGTAGAGAAAGAAACATAAATTCAGAGGGTTTACATGAATTTTCTAAGATCACAGACACCCATGTTTCACACCTAAAACTCTGGGCTCCCAAAGGCCATGTTTTTGCCCTGCCTACCAGGATGGACGCTTTTAAAGGGATCATAATGCAGTAGGGGCAATAACATAATGCACATAAATGACGCAATCTAACTGTGCATGGAAAATGAATAATAGGGCTAAGTATTGCATAGGTTTGCAGGCAATGAATCAATGTCCACCTGTGGCCTCTCCAGAACTTTCCAAATGCTAACCTCCTCACTGTGCAGTTGGGAGCTCTGTCCACCCATCAGTCCCGCTCGAGCCAGAATGATCTAGACCAGGGGTGTCCAACCTTTCGGAGTCTCTGGGCCACACTGGAAGAAGAGTTGTCTCAGGCCGCACATTAAATACACAAACACTGATGAAAACGGATGAGCCGAAAAAAGGTCCGTGCATAATTTTCATGGCATCTGCTACCGCAGATAAGCAAAAACATCCTCACGTAATCTCCCTAACTATGCAGTGGCCTTTTCGATAATCATTTAAAATTGTCGAGCAGGTCCCTGTAATCACTATATAGGAAATAGACCCATCTGAGTAATAAAACTAAGTATCGTTTTAAGTAAATGTACAGTTTTGTGTTGGGCCACATGTGCACCCATCCCAGGCTGCATGCGGCTCGCGGGCTGTGGGTGGGGCAGCCCTGATCTAGAGCTTGCTTGTCTTGGTTTTGGGTCAAAATGTTTGGAAGGTTCAGTCTTTTCACTGAGAATAAAATCACTGTCACTTTTCTTTCAGCCTCACTTCTGTGCATTCTGAAGCTTTATGAAGTTTAATCTATTATTTAATTTCAGGAGCTTCTGGGCCACCTCAGTGCTTGCAGGAATGAGGTGTTTCCCCAAGAAAGAGAGGGGTGCTCATGTGCCTTTACCAACCCGGGCCTAGAGGCCCCAACCAGAAATCCAGGTTGCACTGGTTTCTGACAGTTCGTTCTCTTCTTAATCACCATTTCATCATGGGCTTAAAATAATAGGAATAGCCCTGGCTGGTGTGGCTCAGTGAATTGAGCACCAGCCTGCAAACCAAAGGGTCACCGGTTTGATTCCCAGTCAGGGCGCATGCCCAGGTTGAGGGCCAGGTCCCCAGTAGGGGGCACAAGAGAGGCAACCACACATTGATGTTTCTCTCCCTTTCTCCTTCCCTTCCCCGCTCTTTGAAAATAAAATATTTTTAAAAAATGGAAATAAAGGAAAAGTGCAAATGAATAATATAACAAGGTTAGGCAGAGGCCTAATTCATCATTTGTCTGCATGAAAAATGAAGTTCAGACACTCTGCCTGTCCCAAGCTTTCACCTCTCCACTGAATCCCGTTCTCCTCCCCGTCGTAAGGCTCTAGGGCCCCCAGAGCCCATCTCCTCCTGCCTCCTGTTCGAACCTGCTCACAGGACATGTACAGATCTCAGTACGGACTTCAGAGAAGGGGTCGCCTCTCGATAGTCAATGTGCTTCGGAACCTTATCTGTCTTCAGGGCCCCAAAGGCATTTTGTCTCCTGTGAAATGTCACAGAGGCATTTTCCAGGCACGGATTCTGTCCAGGCCCCTGAAGACACTCCTGGCTGGTCTGGCTGGTCATCTCTGGGAGCGACTGTTCTGACTGCAGAGAGGGAGGGGCAGTCTGGTGGGAGCAGTGTCTGGGTCTGGGAAGCTGAGACTGGGCAGGAGGAGGAGTTGGCTTCAGAAATGTGTTACTTACCCTGTATGTTTGCCTGCCGTGAAAAATGAGAATCGTATTTTTTTTTTTTGGATGGAAGTAGTTTTTCCACTAAAAATGTAGCTGTAATTTTAGAGATTCTCAAAGGGATCTGAGAAAGGTCTTAGATTTTGAAGTTCCTATATTATAGGGTAACTTTATAAAGTGTTATGTATCATTTTCCAATTCAGTTTGATGTCTTTGCCTGAGCATTTTGCTCTTTGTAAAATCAATAAAGCTGGAAACCTCACCTCCAAGTGTCACATGAAATTAGAATTAAAATGGTGCAACAAGACGGCAGTGACATTTTCTTACGGCTTCCAGGTTCCTAAGAGGTAGTGTCTTCTCTTGTGGCTACCAATTCCCTTCTCTGTGGCCTCTTTAATAAACCACCCAGTCCTGCTGGTGGAAGTCAGAACATCTATCGTACTCATGTCTCAATGAAGAAACGCGTAGGTTGGTTTTATCACATTAATCAGCAAGGCCTTGAGGAAAAAGGCCACACCCCACAGGATGCAAGGTACCATGCACGTCACCAGGAGAAAAAGTCTGAAGCTTAGGGGACAGTGTCCCACAATGGCTCAGTGGTGGCAGCCCATCTGACCAATGAGGAGACGGGCATCTAGGCAAGGAGAGTACGTCCTCGCCATTGTGCTGCCCTCGTTCCACAAACCACTTCTCTCCTGCCTCCGCCCATGCCGAAATCTTATAGTCCCTTTCCACTCCCCAGTGTACCTAAGTATCAGAACTTAAATTTTAAAAAAAAGCCACACAAAACTGACATTAAAAAAATAAATTTATTTTGAGTCCAAAATACTGAAGAATAAGCATACAGATACATTTTACAAAGAGCAAAAAAAATAAAAACATGAGCCCTGGCTGGTGTGGGTCAGTGGACTGAGTACCAGATTGGGAAGCGAAGGGTCACTGGTTTGATTCCCAGTCAGGGCACAGGCCTGGGTTGCGGGGCCAGGTCCCCAGTAGGGGGTGTGTGAGAGGCAACCACACATTGATGTTTCCCTCTCTTTCTCCCTCCCTTCCCTTCTCTCTAAAAATAAATACATAAAATCTTTAAAAAAATTAGAACATGAAAAATGACTTAAGGGAGACCCAGATTTTCCCAGCAATACTCTGAGTTTACACATAACAGAGTTTTAAAGACATTTCCCCACATTCCCAAAAAGCAAAAGCTGTATTTGCAACATTTATCAACACAATGGCTATTGCAAGCATCGGTTTCTATCTGGAATCATTTGGTTAAAATTTTTACAAGAGTCAGTTACTCGACTCCATTTCCCAAAGATACGATACAGAACTATATGACATTCTTGTCTGACATATTACAGACAACTTTAACTAATACAGAAAAATTATCAATTTATTTTGCATTTTACCATATTATATTTCATTCTTTTATTAATCAACAAGGAAAAATACACATGACATATATATACATATGCTTTCAAAAACAAAGTATTCCAATTTTTATCTGTAGTTTGTTCCAAACGTCAGGAACTCAACAAGTACATGATTATTTTAAACAACATCGACAGTTTAAAAATAAAAACAATCATTTCCAGGAGGGACCTTGAAATATATTTTTGGCTGAAAAACCTGTGCCATCAATAGCTTAAGGAAGGTAACGAGTCAGCACACTCTGCTTGAGCTACTGGCAACGGAATAAAAAGGCTAAAAACAGATTTTAAACTTGCTGCGTCCAGAGGAATGACCGCAGTTGTTTATCCCAAATGCCCAGGAGCTGTCTCCGCTACCTTTGAGTTTCTCTGGTACAGTGATTTGGTTTACCCCAGGTGAACGGCATCTAACATTTTAAAAAGACCTTTGAGGTCACAGCGAACGCATTCCTCCTTCTACGGATGAAGGAAATGCTGTCCAGAAAGTGAAAGGGACAGCTAGAAGCAGATCCAAGACACAGACCTGGAGCTCGCGGTTCCCGTTAAGTTGTTCTAATGACACGGCCGCCAGGGGGAGATTCCACGTGAGGGACTGTGGGGTTGAGGACAGAGGACACTGTCATCGTTTCAGCGAGAAGCAATGGTGCACTGCGCCCAGATCAGAGGGGTTTACTCACTCCCAGGGTACCCAGGGTTTACCTGATTGGCTCTTGTTGTGTATGTGGACATCATGTAAGCAGTATGGCTGTTTATATGTCATTACTCTGAAGATGATATTCCCGCATCAGTTCAGAGAGTCAGAACGCCAACAACATTGAAATTCGCACAGTAAACAACAGGCAGAGGTAGGCACTGTGGAAACACATTTGGTCCTGTTCCGCTTACCCTGAGCACGTGACAGAGCAGACTGTCCCTGCGGTGGGGACACTGTGCGGTCTGGGGTGAAGACAAGGAGCCCCTCTCCCGACACACCGAGGGAGCACATGCTCAGGTGTCGCAGTGTTCAAAGGAGCAGGGTCATAAAAATGACATAAAAAGGACACCAGAGAGTTAGAACGCACAGCATTTGCAGGGGTCCCCACGGAGTTGGAACACCCGGGCTGAGCAGAGATTTCCCTATCTCTGGAATCTTCGAGGCGAAAGTATACGATGTGACACGAGAAATCGTGGAAAAGCCAGTAACACAGAGTATGGCATTTTCTCACTAGGAACTTATATATTGCACCAAAAAAAAAAAAAAAAAGGAACACGTGAAAAAGCCAATAAGTACAAAACTTCTCTATCTCACACCAGAGTGAAAAAATACAGTGTTACTATATCTGCCATGAAAGAAGGCACAGAGAACTCAAGATGACGGCCCGTGTCTGGCTCCTCAGCTTCATCAGAACATGAGACCGAAGCCGATCGGCACCAAATGGTTCCTATGGTCATTGACAGTACCTGTTACAAAGCGCAGCGTAACGAGAATACCAGACGGGAAAGTCGCAGCCCTGTCTGCAAGTCCGATCCCAGCGCCAGCGCCGTCCCTGGTGGATGGAAGCGGCGTATCGCCACACCGCACTCGCACCAAGGGGCTCCCACGGAGGGGCTCCCACGGCACACAGGGAGCCTGTCAGGACACATCCCGCACGTGGTCCTCCTGGACATCTTTACAAACAAACTGACTGTGCTCCTAGGGGACCGAACAGGATCAGACGTCCACGTGATCGTGAGAGGAAGCCATCCAGGCTTCCACTTTCTACAAAACAGAAAACCACGTCCTTTTGAAAAATAAATGTCAAGAAGCTTACTTTCAGATCGACCCTCTGAGACCCCAAATGGGACACTTGTTAGACACATGGTAGTGTTAAGATGATGTAAACAAAAGCACCCTAAGTAAAATATTGCTTAAATTAACGATGAAGCAAAAACGGGGACTGCATGTCGGGGTCCCACAGTGCCAGCGTGTGCCCATCTCTCATCACCTAGAAACCAAGCCGTGCCGCGAGTTATCACTTGATACCAACTTCCCCTCCCCCTCAGATTGCGGGTTCTGCCTGCTCGAACAGCGTAACAGTTTTTGACTCTTGATCTGTGGGACTCTCAACTGGTACCTGCAGAAAGAGTCAGAAGATAAAGAAAATTTACAGCGTTTGCCGATGCCATGGTGACGGATCAATAGTAGCAGGCTCAAGAATAAAAATTGAGCTGGCCAGATAGATTGGTTTCACACTTATTCCGTGCATACATTTCTCAATCATATGATCACAAACATGTTTGTTACTTACAGCTTTAATATTGCCATTTGTAATTCCTATATTTATGTTGTGTCTTCTCAGGTCAGACTTGATTAGTGCTGAAACAGAGAAGCATCGAGAGTTACTACCGGGGGTTCGTGAACGTACTTTGCTCCAAGCGCTGCTAAGTCTTGTTCGCTGTTGTCAGATTTAGCACACCACAGTGCCACAGTATATAACAGCATCCGTGCAGTCCGAAAAAATAGTACCTCTCAAAGCCGTTAAGTTAGTTAGGAAGTCATTCATTGCTGAGCAAACACAGGATGCTAGGAAACAAGGATACAACGAGGAACAGTGCCGTTCCTTCCCTAAAGCACCCTCCAATCGAGGGAAACACTGACTCACAAACAGTCGTAACACTGCCCGATAACTGCAACACCTGGGCTTTGCCTGTGGTGGAGTGGGGGCGTGGGAGGAAAGAACTCCCGTGTTAGCCAAAGGGAATCTGGATGGATTGCCAGAGGAGACAGATTTGAATGGAAACTTGAACAATGAGTAGGAGCTTGTCCAGCACAGGACAGGAGAGGAAGGCACCTGGGCCGGCAGAATGCAGTCTACGCCAAGACATGGGGACAGGAAGCCCACGGCCTGTTCCTGGCACTAAGGTCACCAGGGGTCCCTGCGGGAGGCTGTGGAGAAGAGGTTGGGCTGGCAGGTATTGTGGACACTGCACCTGAGAGGGGAGGACACTATCAGCCTGTGACAGAGTGAAACGCTGGCCCTCCATCTCTACCTTACTTCAAGCCTGCATTTCCCCACAGCCTGCAGGCAAACAGCTGCTCCTATGAATTTGCTTATCATTAGAGAAATTCTTCTTGAGGCTTGAGTTTTTGGAAGACTGGCCCCTTGCCAGGGGGGTGACTCTTAGAAGAGGTGAGGATGTGTGTACAAAATAATGATTGCTTATCAAAGATTTTTCAGGAGCCTCAAGAGCAAAGAACAGGGAACAAAGAGATTTAGAGATTCCTGGCTCTTCCCGGGGTACCTGCTGGCCCCCGGATGTCTGCGGGTGGCCAGTCAACTTCTTGCCCTGTCCACTCTCCCTTCCCTTGACTGAAAGCAGCCTGAATTCTGGGTTCTCTTAAGATGGCATTGAGGCAGCTCTAAGGCCCCCCCACCCCCATCTTCTCGAGCTGGCACCTTCTCTGTCAAGGAACCTTTCCCAGCTCCAAACTCCGACAATTTGAACACTGGCCTTTTGAAGCATCTGGCACACGCACGAACTTATGGAGTAGTAACAGGGCTATATATTAGGGAGCTCAATCTGGCAGCCACGTGGAGGGTTAATCACTGGCAGCAAGACTAGAGGCAGGAAGGTCAGTTAAGAGGCTTTAATTCTTCGGAGAGCTGGTGAGACTTGCCTGTGTGAGAAATGTAAACAAAGGGACAAGTTTCAGAGATGTTTTAGAATAGAACCAGCAAGACTTGGTGGTTTGATGGAATATGAAAAATGGCCATAAAGCAGGTAAGCTGCCAGTTAAATGCTCAATAACACACACACACACACACACACACAGAGAATATGAAGACAGAAGAAGAGAAAGTAAAAAGTGACTTTTGAATTTTCTTGTTCAGGCAATTGAATGGGCGGTGGTCCTAGTCTCTGAAACTAAAAACACAGGAAGAGCAAGTGTGGTGGGAAGATGGTGAGTTCAGTCCCAGACGGGCTGAGCATAAGACACCTGGAGCATCCAGGTCTAGAGATGAATACAGGATTGGACATGGTCTGAAGTGTGCGAGACATGGGGGTCTGTTAGAGGAAATTGGCAGTTATTTTAAAACATAGCACAGCAGCCAGGGAATGACCTGTTTATGTGTTTATGGCTTGTTTTTTTTTCTTTTGCTTCTTGCTTGTCCCTGCGCACCAGAGATAACAATTGCCCCTGTGTGCTAGAGATAACATTTCGCTTCTTGCTTCTGTAGGCTGCTTCTTGCTTTCGCCCCAGAAGTAACGGTCTAAGTGACAGACCATCCCTCACCCGATATAAGCAATTGCGCCCCGCTGATTGGGGCCCAGAATTTGGAGACCGCCTCCTCTGGGTCCACAGGCATAAATAAAAGAACCACTTCGCTTCCTCCAGTGTTTGGCCTGAGTTCTTGTAACAGGTCCAGATTTTTTTTTTAGTGTTCACCAATTTTTTAAATTACATTTTATTGAGTATACTATTAGTTGTCCCAATACTTCCCCCATTGCTCCCATCCACCCAGCACCCCCCACTCCCACTCCCTCAGGCCATCCCCACACCATTGTTCATGTCCTTAAGTCATGCATATCAGTTCTTTGGCTACTGCATTTCCTTACTGTACTTTACATCCCCATGGCTATTCTGTAACTACCTATTTGTACTTCTTAATCCCCTCACCTCTTCACTCATTCCCCCTCCCCCATCTGGCAACCATCAAACCGCTCTCTCTATCCACGTTTCTGTCTCTGTTCTTGTTTGCTTAGCTTAGTTTTTTTTTTTTAGATTCAATTGTTGATGGATACATATTTAGCGCCATTTTATTGGTCATGGTTTTGATCTTTTTCTTAAATAAGTCCCTTTAACATTTCATATAATGATGGCTTGGTGATGATGTGCTCCTTTTATTTTCTCTTGTCTGGGAAGCTCTTTATCTGCCCCTCTATTCTAAATGATAGCTTTCCTGGATAGAGCAATCTTGGCTGTAACTCCCTGCTTTTCATGACTTTTAATATTTCTTGCCAATCCCTTCTAGCCTGCAAAGTTTCTTTGAAGAAATTAGCTGACGATCTTATGGGAACTCCCCTGTAGGTAGCTGACTGCTTTTCTCATCCTGCTTTCAAGATTCTCTCTTTAGCCTCAACCATTGGCATTTTAATTATGATATGGAGACCCAGGTTTGGAGTTACTAGTATATGTGGCAGTTAGTGCCATAGACTGCTCAAAGGAGACTGGAAAATAAGAAAATACGCTAAGAGCCTGTGGGTAGTTAACTAACCTAAGCAGTCATAAAGCAAAGTAAATAAAAGATGAAAGTAAAATTGGTGTTGTAAAAGTTAGCCTAATGCTTCCTTTGAGATCCACATTGCCCCTTATGATTCTGCTCTATAGCTGATGCCAATGGTTTAGAAATTCAGATATTTATGCTGAGTAACTGGACATGTAAATATGACCTTTCTACACGCATTTAAATGACTTTGAAGAAACTGGTGCTGGCGTGTGATAAGATCACATTTAAAAGCAGTGGAGATATTGAAACACAAGCTTTACATTCAGTAGTGACAGCCCGGACTAAGCAACTCTGTGGTGTTGCACAATTTGCCAAATCAAAGAGGCTACTCACGTATTTTCGTTAATAGGAAGAAAATGTATTCCTCTATCATTCATGATAATTATAGGATTTAGAAACATGACGAATGGCATTATCACCTACTGTTTTCAATGGATACGAATGGGCTACAGACAGATAATATGCCACAGAGAGCTGTCTCTACTGGAAAGTTGAGTGCGCTGCACCCAAATGCTGATCCCTGGGTCACCCAGAGCAAGAACACCCAGCAACCCTTGGGGGAAATGCAGAAAGAAAAGGCGCCGCCTTCACCGCACCCTCAGGAACTGCCCAGCCCTCTTTCCTGTCTACACAAATGACCGCTGGATATACAATCCATCACACTCTCTTAGCAAAATACTCCCAATACGTGAGATAAATTACACAGCATTTTTAGATGGCAGAAACATCAATTGTAAAACTATTTTAAAGTTCTTTATCCACTTAATTAATTTTCTAGACTTGAAAATATTTGAATTGACATTTATTAATCTGACTATACAAATAAGGTGAATGCAGACCTCAAAACGGCTCCCTTTTTCGGTTCCACAACAGCACAAATAGTGTCTATTAAATAGATAGGCAAATGTCACTTCCCTGGAAATTGAGAACCAACACGGGATTACCTGGGACGGGTCACATTAAGGCAGTTACTGTGTTACATGTCTACAGTTTTGTATGTTTTACTTTACTAACCAAAGAGAACGGAAAAAGGCTCCCTCATAGTAGGATGTGTTTTTTTTTCTTTGGATAATTTTTATGAGTTTATCTGAACCAAACGGACCACATCTGTCAGGAAGCAAGAGCTCAGATGCTCCTGCAGGATGTTTTCATTGGAGGGCACGCGGCAGTCGCTCTTTTAAACACAGCACAAGACTGACAGCAGCCTTCGGTGGCTGTGTGTTTCCCAAATGACTGCTCACTGGGGGTAAGATTCCGTGTGTGGGGGCGTCTCAGAATGAATGGTCAGGCACTCAATAACCACGAAAAGAGGCCTTGACTCACGACTCTCTGATGGATTCTGTCTCTCATGTTGGTGAAGGTGGGCAGAGAGAAGGGAACAAAGTCAGATGACGGCAGAAGCCCAGCCGGCCAGAGGGCACTACTAACACGTCGCCCCTCTAAGTCCAGTTTCGCGCTACGTGCCTGGACAAACGATGGACACGAGTTCTTCAACAGGCTCCTTCTCTGGAGGTCAGGCACGATTCACGTTCCTGCTCACATCTACTCTGATTACACCCGAGAAGTGTGAGAACTGGCAAACCACACCAAACGCTCATCCCTCCCCTGTCCTCTGACTTCAGCCCGCGGCTGCCACATCAGGGCAAATGCTAACGCGACGAGGAGTGTCCTCGGTGTCAGACACTCTGCTAGGAACTTTTCATGAATCTCCTCACTGACCCTCATGGCAAGCCCTCTAAGGCAGGCTTTAAACACCCTATCACGAGTGAGCAAAGGAGGGTTTGAAAGCTTGAGTCACTTGCCTCAAGTCACACAGCTAGGGAGTTAACAGAATCAGAACTTAAGGCCGGGTACTGCCCATTCCGGCTCCTTGTTACAGCAGTTCTGTTTTCTATGCCTAGTAATTGTATTGAATTTAGAACCTGAAAGATAAATGAACAGATTCATATCACTGAAAGAAAACAAGTAATATCCTGCTTTTTATCTTATTTTTCTCCTTGAGTCCTGCCAAGCCATTCAGAATCAATATATGTGTTTACCTGTTAAAACGATGCCCACAAACATCCAAACACAGAGGAAAATGTTTCCTGCCTTGGGGCTGTACTCTGAGGTGAGCTTTCCTTGAGCCAGTGTGAACAAAATCCCAAATATCTAAAATAAAATAAGAGGATTATTGTATCAAGTTCACTTAAAAAAAGATTTTATTTATTTTTATTTTCTCTAAAGACTTTATTAATTTATCTTTAGAGGGGAAGGGAAGGAGAGAGAAAGAGAAATGTCAGTGTATGGTTTTGTCTTGTGTGTCCCCTGCTGGGAACTGGCCTGCAACCCAGGCATGTGCCCTGACTGGGAATCGAACCAGTGACCCTTTGGTTAGCAGGCCTGCACTCAATCCACTGAGCTACGCCAGCCAGGGCGAAAGGTGAAATTTTTAAAACAAAATCTAGGGCAAACTCATTACCCACTAGAGTATTCGGTGAACAACTCATCTCAGGCGGAAGGGCAACAGAGAGTTACCTGCGCAGCAGCATTGAGAAGACCTGACGAAGTGCCTTCAGATTCAGGGTAAGTGATTTCAACAGCAAATTCAAAGCCCAAGGGGAGGTAACCCGTCATGAAGAAACTAGGAAAATAGACCCAGAGTTATGGAATTAGCAGGACAGTAACACGTTACCGAGGTGATCATTCTACTTCTCAGGCCTATTCTAATGATCAAATCGGGAATGCTTTGAAGTTGACATATGCAGGAAAGGCACCACTGTTCATTAGTCGGTCCAAGGTCACGAGAACTGAGAAGGAAAACAACTTCTAATTTCTTTTTCTGAGAAAAATTTACTGCTAGTTTTCTGAACCAGTTGTCTTTCTAACTAAATAAAGTTACTTGGACTAAATAAAATAAGGCTTATCTGTTTTTCACCTACACAAACCAACAAAAAAACATTTAAAATTATGTTTTGCATTTCTAAAGAATTATACATTTATATGCACAGGATGAATTTTTTTAAGTTTAAAGTGTTAAAGAGGCCTTGGATGAACTTGAAAAATTAAAAAACACAGGACTGACACTTCGGAATCACAACCGCAGGCCGCTGTTCCCTTCAAGCACACCCGACGCTTACCCAAGCACCCCCGCGGTGACAAACACGAGGACAATGTGTCCGAGGTCCAGGGTGAAGGTAAATGTGATCATCCCACAGAAAGACAAAATGTAAACCAGCAGAGTAGTCTGTCTAAAACAAAACAAAAAATGATCCATTTTATGCCAGAAACACACAGAAATCACGTGGTCAGCTACTGCTCTGTCCACACAGCAATAAATACCTTGGGTTTTCAAGACCAGGTTTCAATTATCTACGCAAAATATTTCCACCAAAGCCCACGCCACGTCTACTGCTCACGCAGGGAGGCATATTCACGTGGATAAAATCATTGTCATGTCTCCAAAGGGGGTGGTTCCCTACCCATATTTCAAGACTCAGACTAAATTCTACCTATTCTAAAACGCCTTTCCTAACCATGGAAGCTTATGCCATTGTTTCTTTCTTCCAATTCCCTCATCATTTTACTATACACATAATTGGCACTTGACCGCCATTGGAATTAGGACAACCATTTTAGTCTGTAGTATTATTATTTAATTCTTCACACGTGAATGCCTTGTTTTTCTCATTTAGACCACAAGTGCCGTAAGGACAGCAGCCACATGCCACTTGCTACAATTCCTAGCCGACTGTGGCACACAGCTGCGGCTACCTGAGAAGTCAGCCGGAGCAACAAAAAACACATCTCAATGCCTATCGAGTTTTCTGATCATATAATGGGTCAAAAACTATTAATAAATGTAACCTTTACACACCTCCCTTCATCTATAAATTTAGTGGGTGCCACTCTAACTACCGTTTCATGATAATGAAGCTGTAGCAATGCTTCCTTCAGTCATCGGAGAACTACCTTGGAGAATTCAAGATCGCAGGTAATTTGAAAGGGTTGAGATAAAGGTATTAAACATATACTGGGCCTTGAAGGTGCCTAGGACACAGCTGCACATTTTATTCGGTCCATTTATTCACCTCAGTTTCATTCACACATTCCTCCGAAGCAGATGGAAAGTTTCTGTCTATTAAAAAAAATCGTAGCTATTTTTTGAAGAGCCAGTGCAAAAAGATGCTGCCTCTGAAGCCCCTTTCAGCCGCCCAGTTGGAGTTACTCACTTTTTCTTCCATATTAGCATTTTGCTGATTTCATACAGATATACAATTAATAGAGTGTTTGTATTATGTGTTATATTGTAGTTAAGTGGTGCTGCAGTTGAGGGTACTTTCTTCAAAACATTTTACCACAATAATCCTTAGGTTCAATAATAACAATCTGCTAGGAAAGAACAACTTTTTGTTTTTAAGCTCACAACATGAGAAAAGAGCAATACGAAATTTCTGTCAGAAGTTAAATGTTTCTCAAGAAGGATTTTTTTGCAGAATAGAAGTGGTCTATGTGAGTACTACTGGAGGTGAACGAGGTTCATAATGTATGCAAGTCCTCAAAGTTGGACTAAATATGAGCAACAGAGTAAGACAAGATGCAGACTACAGAAACATTCAGAAGTGGAGGGAACCTAAGCATGCCTAGAATCCAAGTCTTGCAGTAATAACACTGTAAAAAAAATTTTTAATAAAAAGCAAAGTTTTCTTTACAACCAAAATACTTTGGGTTGCACACCATACATTTATCTTACTTTTGCTTACTTGTACGTTTTGGTATAATCCAGCCATAAGCCACAAAGAATGGAGCCTACCATTCCGGCTACCACTAGTGTTAGCCCAATCCTCCCAGCATTCACCTCTTCTCCCTTAAAAGAATTTTCATGAGAAGTTAATCAGACACTTCTAATTCAAAGACATCCTTCACATTCTCATACCTTCACATGGTCAATGGAATTAATCAGATATAATCAAGCATGTAATATAACAGGAGGATTCAGTGTGTGTTTTAGGATGGGGATGGGATAAAGCACATATAAAGGACACTCTACTGTATTTTAAAACCAGGGGGAAATACCCTAAAATATGGAGAAATCAAAAGGGAACTTCCCTTGCCCTAGCCGGACATTTCAGTTAGTTGGAGTGTTGTCCTGGTACACCAAGGTCATGGTTCAGCCCCAGGTCAGGGCACTCACAAGAAGCAACCAGCAACTTATAATTATAAGCAATTTATAATTATAAGCAACTTATAACTAAGTGGGACTTCAGATCAGTGTTTCTCTCTTTCTTTCTCTCTCTCTCTAAAAATCAATCGATACATTTTTTAAAGGAAAATTTTCTTGATTCTCCACAATAAGAAGTACAATAATTTTAGTTAGAAATCTTAAGTAAGTTGCAGATGTCTGATAAAAAGGTTAATCTGACAGCCTTTCCATATTACAATTGCTCTCTCCTTTCAAAGGCAAAGAGAAGTTGGAGCTTGATATTTACTTCTTTATATTTGTTTTGGTTTTCCTTAAAGTTTTTGGCTTTTTCCATGTAACCAATCACATCATTTCTCTAAAAATGAATAGCAGAGCCCTGACGGGTGTGGCTCAGTTGGTTGGTGTGTCGTCCCATACACCGAAAGGCCACGGGTTCGATTCCCAGTCAGGTCGCATGCCCGGGTTGCAGTCAGGGTGTGTGCAGGAGGGGCCGTCGGTGCTTCTGTCTCACACTGACATTTCTCCCTCTCTCTCCCTCCCCTCCCCTCGCTCTAAAATCAGTGGACATGTCCTCCAGTGAGAATAAAAAAAAATTTTTTAAGAATAAAAAGAAAACAGGCATTGCCAAAGCTATAATAATTTCTGCTTTCCCTTTTGTATGTTTTACAAACTGCATTAAAAGTATTCTCAATGAAAACAAATATAAATCATTTACAGCAACAAGGTCATAAATCTTTAATCTCATGGTCATCTACTGGTATATTGCTGCTAAAGAAAAATTCCTGGCTGGGCAAACAACACAATATAGTCAGGAGCTTACCTCATGGTATGTCAGTATCATCTGATTTAATAATGTTGAAACTGAATAAAATGCTCCAGTCATGATACCTACAATAATAAGCAGAAAACTGTAAGTGTACCATTTACTAATTCATAAATTGCTATGGAGTTCGCTGTGACAATTGTGAAAATATACTGTATTTTGCCATGTATAATGCACATTTTTGCCCACATTCTTTAGTGTGTCCATGTATAATCCTTATTTTTCCTTATACATGGGCACATTATAATGGGTGATACCTGAAATACCTTCTATCTTTTCTCGTGTTTTGTAATTATTTGTTACATGAAATTTCTAGTACCATAATATGTTCAAAAATGAATGCTAAAATTCCCCTATAATGCAAAAAACAGGTATCTAAATATAAATGAATAAAGAATTGAATTAGAATATTTAAACTGAAGATTTTCCTGAAAGTTTGGGATGAAAACATGGGTGTGCGTTATACACAGGGGCGCATTATACTTGGCAAAATACGGTAATAGATTTCTCATTTGACAGAAAAAATGAAGAACTCTTGCCATGCCCTTTCAGACTGTGGACTGATATAATGAACACTTAAGTTACTAGGGGTTATGATAGGAAAACCCTGTCATTGCACTTGCTATTATTACTCACACTCTGATATACTGACCATAAATCATAACCCCACACACAACACTGTCGATGGCAATAAAGTGACAGCTTGCTCACTGAGCAACAACACTGCACTCGAGCAACTGAACGTGACGGCGTAAGACAGCAACCCTGCCTTGGGGACCTCACCCCTGTAGCAAGACTCGAACAGCGAGTAGTAAGACAAGATTAACTGAAGAATAATTCAAAAGGGAGAAATGAAAACAGCTGGTTATCAGGAAGCCTGATGAGGTCTGAGTCCTGCTTTTTCCTTGCACCTGATGTGTGACTTCAAGTAAGCCTCTTAGTTGAAACTTAAGTTTATTATGTCTCTCTTTTTATCACTAAATATTTCAAGCACACACAATAGCACAGAGAATAACTTAGCAGACACTCTCACTCTTCACCCAGCTTTTTCACACACGAACACTTGCCATCTTTGCTTCAGATTCATTTTTTAGACCTTCCCCGATCTCGCCCTTCTCTGCTGTTCTTCCCCAGGGGTAACCCCGACCCCGATCTGGTCGTTAGAGCTGTTGACAAATATTCTAGTTTTTCAGGCATTTTATGGAATGGCCATAGGACTTTAAAGTGAGCCGAAGTGACGTTTCCCACTTTCTGCTTTGGTGATCATGGAAGCATGTGCCTTTAGCACACACCTGCTGTGTAACTTCTCTTGTGTTATTACCTTTTGATAAATATCCCTACACTGCTGTTTACTTTTCAGATGTTTCCGCTATCTCCCCAATTTAATTATAATTACTTCAGAACAGAGATCATGTCTGATTCCTCTTTCTAGCTCACACAGCCTCTAGGGCACCATTGTTGATATCGATAAATGAATAAATGAAATGAACAATGAGTGAGATAACTGTGAAGCTAGCTCTGGTAGAACCGCTTGAGACAAAAGGAATACATTTCCGATACAAGAAATACTGGCACACAATTAGAGACCAGAATTAACAGTATACAAGGGCATGTAGAGGCAGATTTGTGTGTGTGTGAGACAGAAGATTGGTTATAAACTTGGCTGAAACAGAATTCTGCATTGAAAAACAGTGAGAGATAAATGAAGACTGGAGAACAGCCACCTTAAATGACAGGCTAGAGAAATGAATTTGCTCTAACAGGGAATAGTGAACCACTCTACATCCTAGTTGGTAGTTTTAGATTCAAGCTAACTAGTGGAGATTACCAGCAAAACTAAGTAAAGGAACTTGGTATGCTGAAGTATTTAATGATAAGGTGCTGTAACACCTGGGATTTGCTTTAAAACATTCCAGGAAAAAAGGAGAGGAGACAGAGTAAGAAGGATGAATGATGGTAAGTGTTCAAGCTGAGTGATGGTGGATGCATAAAAATTAGTTACATTAAATGTAATACCTTTGTGTTTAACTATTTCCAGCAAAAGAAAAAGCAATTAATCCTGGGAAAAGATTGAGAGCTTGGGCCGGGGCATAATTTGTTATAAAGCTGTAAAACAATTATATATCAGGGTGTGCCCTCCCCCCAAAGTGTGAAGAAGCCAGCAGAGGGCAATTTCTGAAGGCAAGTAAGACAGATACAGGGGGTACTGGTGGCTGATGTAAATAGCATTCATGTAAGAAATAAAGAATAAACTCTCAAAACTCTCTAAAGTGAACCAAGTGAGTTGGTGTCTGCAGTCAAAGCTACAGAGTTAGCTTTGACTAACTCTGCCAGCCACCATGAAAGATCTGGAAGGATGAGAATTTTTTCAAGTTAGAACTGGTCACAACGACCTCCTTAATGTCTAGTTTGGATCAAATGGTGGATTGACACCAGTCTGCACAGGTCAAACCAAACAACTGTTGGTGACATTTCCCACATGTTTGCAGCGGTCATTAACTAGAGTTCAGAGAGGACCTAAAATACCCACAAGAATCCACAAAAGAAGAAAATGCTTCTCTATTTCAGGTCTACTTATTTTTAAAGATGTAAGAAAATCCATCCTGAAGTTTTTGCTGTGAGTGCAAAATGTAAGTTTAGGACTCTACTACTATCGCTATTTTCATAGAGCTAACAAACCTCCCTCATTAATTAAAGCTCTAGCCACTAGAGTCAATGAAAAGAATCTGCAATGCTCAAAGGTCTCCACAGACATCAAAGAGGATAAAAGAAGGCACTTACCATAAGTGATCAATAGAAGGACGAAAGGAATGTTTTTGAACAGGTTCCTTATTGATTTCTTATAGGAGTACTCGCCAGGGGGCGTATCTTGAAGGGCTGCTTGGGCCTGACTTGGCGGATAGTCAGGTTTTTCTTTGAATGCTGGAAATGTACAAGAAAAGGTAATCAAACAAATGTATGTTCTTTAAGTAAGCACACTAAGTTCAGTTTAAGTTTAAGGAGGTAGTGAAAGCCCAACAGTGAGGCCTTTCATTTTTCACTAACTTCTAAGTGATGACCAGTTTGGCACTGAAACTGACTAAAACAGAGATTTGGCCCATTCAAAACTGCAAAACAGACAAACAAACGAAAGCCCTGAAAAATCATTAATAGTATGTCACAACCTTGCCCACTGATTCTTCCATTTTTAGTTAAGCAAGATTAATTTTTATTCTATTAAGTATTCAACAGTTCTACTGCTAAATTTAGTTCAATTTATAATTAGAGGTTACATTAGATAAGAGCAGCCTTTTCAAGCACTGTCTTGAGTTAGCAACTATTTCTTCTGAAATTTAATACGAATGTTATCTATCCAATTACAACTCTAGAAATGAAAAGGTCCAGGTGAATGCGTGGGAGCAGAGCTGGGTCCTTCGTGCTGACTCACTGGAGCTGCACGTGGAAAATCTGGGGGTAGAGCTGAGAGGCACGACAGTGTGACGGTTTCTGATTCTACAAGTCGTATTAGCACATCCCGTCCACAGGGTTGGAGACAGGCTTCTCAGCTAGACGGTTAGAGACCACCCTTGCCCTTGTGCTGGGCAGGAAGGAGCTACACACTTCCTGCAAAAGATGGCTCAGGAGAGATTTCTGTAGGGGTGGCCAGCCCGAAGTCAAGACTACGTCACAGGAGAGATGAACTGCTAACATCTGCTACATCGGAAACTAAAATCTAGTTTCAGCACTGACTCAAAAATGTAAACTAAAACAAATGGAAAATTCTTTACTTCGTGAGATCAAAGATGGTCTGATGTTGGCACTCAAAGGTCTTGCCAGGTTATCAATAGGTTTTCACGTAATCATGTCTCAATTGCCTCCCATGTCAGGCCATTGATTATTAAAAACATTTCAATTTCAGAGATTTCATTGAAAAATGTTCACTTGAGAATCAGTGAAATAGGGTAAGTTCAAAAACCAAAACAGAAGGTAAATGGATTCAGAAAAAAAAGTAGTATTTTCTAAAATATCACAACTTCTTTCTCTTTTAATACTGGCTATTTCTTCCAACAGGGAAGGCCTGCTTTGTGGTTCAAAGGTGGGCAAAATCCAATGCGCATGACTGTCAATCAAAATCATGTCGAACTTTAAAAGTCATACAACTTTAAGAGTCTATCCAAGACTCAATGAATCAGAACCTCCAGATCAGAACCCGAGAATCTGTATTCAGCACAAAACTCTCCAAATGCTATCAACACACAGCCAGGTTTGAAAATCACTGTGAAAAAAATCCTCCTTAAAACTTCTATAGAATACTCTAATTCTCTAATTCTCCTGCTTGCTGCTCAAAATAAAAAAGATAAAATAAAGTTCTTGACTCACCCTAACATTGATTAATTATGCTATAACTAAAACAGACTTCTACTTTTACAGGTCTCTGAATTAATTCAAGAGGAGACATAACTCATAAATATTTACTTTTTAATATCCTTCCATTGCAGGACTGGTAGACATAAAAACTTTAAGTTGCTGCAGTGCCTCCTCTTCCTTTCGCCCTATCTGCTCCTTGCACTGTGCAGGACGACTGTTGTCCCTTCCTGCAAGCGTCTAGTAAAGATAGGAGATACCTCTTTTTATTAATATTGATGGTATAGAACTCACACAGTTGTAAAACAAAGTTTCAGAATGTAAAAACGCTTACAAGGTAGTCATGAATATTTAGGTAGAGTCTTACATCTCTTGGGTTTTACTTTGGTAAAATAAGTCTGAATGGCTCAGTTCTGAACTCACATGCGCAATAAAAACAATTCTTAATCGCCTTTAACTCCACTAGATTAATTTTCTGGATACAAGTGTTATCTTTTTGTTTCAGGCAGTCAACTGCCCTCTCAAACGAAATCGGCCCTTTATCGACCAGCTACACAATGTAATAAAGTTGGGTTTAAGTCTATATGAAAGTAAAGAAAAAGGAACGAAAACCTGTTTATCTTGTACTGCATTTTCAAAGAATGAAATATGGCTTTTTCCTTATCTTTTGAAACTGAAAAACAATTGCCTTCTTACTCTCTCTCTGCTCCCCACCAAAAACTTGTGCCAATAAAAAAGTGAACTGTTAAAGTAGTTATTCTCCACCCCAGGCAACAGGCTTGCGGAGAAGCCAAAGACCTTTGGGCACTGCATTCAAACTTTCTCTCCCGTGATGAAGCAGCGAATCATCTTCACGGGGCCACTTCGACTTTTTGAAATTAGATAACGACATTATATTTCAATTTCATTATTTGTCCCTGGGTGATTCAAGCAGATATTAAACATATTAACTTATTATAAGACAAATATACATTTGAATCCTGGCCCCACCTCTGAAGAAGTCAGTTCCTGTCTTTGACTATAGCTCCCTCACCCCAAAACTGGAAGAACCACGCTATTACGTGGATTATATGATATGATACATGTAAAAGAATTTTATAATTATCGAGTGCTACACAAAATACACTTTTTTCCTTTTATTTGCTTTTTTTTACGCTATCTTTTTTGAGGCGTGTTTTTTTATTTGTAAAAATCAGAGACTAAAGTTATCTCGGGCTTGAAATTCTTATAGATGAAGTAAAATGCATTTCTGTTGAAAGTTTACAATAGCGGCTCATATATAAATATCCTGCCTATAAGAATCAAAAGTAAAATTGTGCACACATGGATATGCTCACATGTTTAAGAGATTTAACACGAAATACTTTGATTCCACTACTCCTGTTTTCTGTTGTCCACTTGCTTCAGGGCACCAAGCTGAGGGTTTTAGCTGGCACACTCGGTGACTGTACTGCTCTGTTGAGGAGTTTTCAAATACAACAGCCACTGACACCAGAATTGAAATGGGAACAACAAAAAAAAAGATTCAGTAAAAATTAAAGTGATATATTTGTATATATGACATTTTACATATGGAGTTAGGCTGTTAATCTCCAGTATTTAGTAGCCATGATCCTGGGGAAGTTACCTTTTCTGGAATTTCTGTGCCCGGTTTCCTCACCTACACAACAGAAATGGTAAGAGCAGTGTTGCCCTCATGGGGCTGTGAGGGCTCAGTGAGGTAAAAGGACAGTGTGCCTGCAGGCACGGTTGGCATCTATCAAACAATCGAATGTGAGAGGCCATAACAGAGTCCCCCCAGGAAGAACGGGGTGGCAGTCCCAACTCGGTGGAAGGCTTGTGCTAATTCCCAGAAGTGCCAGGTGGATGGTCCCCAGGCTCCGTGAGGGAGGGCAAGAGCAGTGCACGGCGTGAGCCCCCAAGACAGCGTTTCAGGAAGAGAGCGAGGTGCCAGTTTCGTGTGTGTCCCGTGGCTGGAGACGCCAGCCACCTACACTATGGTATGAGATTTGGGGGGGCTTCCAAAGTGGGCAGAACTGAGAGGAAAGTAGGATTGTCTCGCAGTAATTAGGACCTTTCAGTACAGACTTTTAAATATCCAAGTATTTTCCTCAATACTTTCCTATTGAGGAAAATACTTGGATATAAGGAAACGGGAACATTTTTTATTTAAATGTCACAATTTTCAACCTAAGACTCATATCACAACCGTATATTACCTTACTTTTCTACTACACTTGGTATCATAAGGTTAAAAGCATAGGTCACAAGCAAAAACGGACGATAAGCCTTGTTTTCCTATTCCATTTCCAATCCAATTTTCCCATTCTCCCCCACCTGCATTTCTCTTTCCACTGTCTACTCACAAGCCATGAGTACATAAGTTAGTAATTATGTACATAAATAGTTGTCTTTTAATATCTCAAATAACACAGGGTGATATGCCAATGGTCACGTCTATTATCATTTTCTGTCCTGCCTTAACAGGAAAAAATGTACTTGTAGCATCTCATATATATGTTTGAGCACATATGAGCATGTGTATAATAATTTTACATCAACGGATATCTTATATGCAACCTATTACTCTGTCGCTTCTTTCAAAGAGACAATTGAAGACAATAAAAAAGGAAAACCAGAATTTATGTGAAGATGTACAAGCAAAGAAAGAGAATTTTATATTTTAATAATCCCTACTGCATAAAAGGCCTATTAATGCAAAATGCGTATGAACTATACTTCATCCAGCCAGTCAAATATCAGAAAAACAAGAGGTTGCTTTTTAAAAATATAGATTTCTTTTGAAAACTTCCTCTTTTTTTTAACTTCCTTTTTAAACTGCTAAAATAGCACAGGGGTAATTTGGCCTTTTTCAGTCATCTGCGCACAGCGAATATGCCAGTCACTACCTGAAACACAAAACCAACCATAAGTAGACGGCACCTGTCAGATTACTTTTTATGCTGCCGAGAAAATAATTCGTTCACTATCTTAAGGGAGATTAATATGTGGGCTGACCTTCCTGCACCTGGATCCTGGAGCTCGCTGTCAAGGCGGCCTCTATCAAAACTCTCTACAGTCTTCCGAGTGCCTGTCTTTGAAAACTGAGGATTTCTTATCTGGAGATCATAAAACTTGAATTTTTCATTACTATTACAGCCATGGTAAAGATTAATACATAAATGAAAAACCCCGATTTAATTGTGAATTTTAATGATTAAAAAGGTGGCCTTTCGACTTTGAATTCCTTTCCTCTTCAAATGAAGATATACTGAGTTGCCTGAGGGGCAGTGCCGTAACTCTGTCAGCAAGCTGGGTCCTTAAATCCTCTTCCCTGAAATCAAAATTGTTTCCCATTAAAAACAAACTTTAAAAAGCAGACCTTCCCGAACCTTCTTCCAAACTGACGATGGCAGCTTGCCCCCGATTTGGACTGACGGCTTCAGGAGACAGGCCCCGATGAGGACTCAGGGACGGCGGTGGCAGCAGCAATTTGCAGGGGGGCCTAACAAGTAGATAGTTGCCACAGTTTGAAGCTTGCTACTGCCTGGGATCATTCACTGGTTGACATTTTCCAATCCAGTTACTTGTTAAACTGAGGGTCCTCAGAGGGATTGATCGTTAAAAGGAAGGCTGTGGCCTGTGCGCATCGTTTGGAAGCGTTGGCAAGAACTTGCTCCCGCTGGGTTAGCACAACATGCAGATCGCAGAGAGGCAAATGCAAAGAGGAGGCGGTAATAGGTTTGAAATGGACACTCATCAGGGAAGAAGGAAGAGTTAGTAGGGGGACTAATGGGATGAATTAGTCATCAAACCCTTTACAATATTAAATAGATGGGCCATAACAGAGCCCTAGGCTATAGCGTTCGTTACCCAAGCAAGGCAGGGACCCAAGCAAGAAGAAAACAAGCAAATGGCATTTGAGATAGCAATACAAATCTTCAGGGTGGGTTACTTTTTTTCCACATGGTTGTCATGCATTTATCTACTTAAGCTTTAGGGAAAATAATCCACTTACCTATCACTGTTAAAGCAAATAATAGTGTGGCAACAGCCGATGTTCCATAAAACATGGTACTGATATTATGAGCCAAAAGATCTGTGTTATTCTGTGTGTTGGGCACTAAAACTGGTGGTAGCAAAAAACCAACGGCCGTTCCGAGCTGTAAAATAAACAGTCCTGTTAATAGCTGTTATTAGAAGAGGAAAAAAAGTACATACTGCCAATTAATACAACACAAAGAGGACAGTTAGTGTACATCAGGTGCTTCTAAGTGGAAGAAGCCAGACCCAGAAGGCTCCATTCATAGGAAATATCTAGAAACGGTAAATCCAGAGAGAGCCAATCAGCGATGCCAGGGGCTGAAGGAAGGGGGAATGAAGAGGGACTGCTTAGTGGGTACTCAGTCTTCCCTGAGGGTGGATGAGGATGGTTGGGAACTAGACGAAGGTGATGTCTGCACAACACTGAGAACGCAGGAAATGCCTCGGAGCTGCTCGCTTCCAAATGTTTTCTTTGTTCTGTGAATTCCACATAAGGAAGGAAAACAAGAGGCTGAAAGGATGATAATCACAACGAGAGAAACAAAATCAACGTATTAAAGGAGGCCCAAAGGAGGAAGATATTCGAATCTTTGGGTGATGGAAGTGAAGAGGAAGGGCCCGAAAAAGCTTTCAAAAAGGAGAGGAAGGCAGGGATGACATTTACCAAATATTTCATTTGCTCCCTTACCAAAAGCAGGACAGAGACAGACAGGTAATTATGAGACAGTGGTGAGGAACGCCCCAGTGGAGAGGCTGAGGGCACCGTCGGTCAGATTTGATTTAAAAAGGATAGAAAACTGTTTCAGCAATGTAGACAACTAATTAAGTGTGGTGTTGTGGACAATGGTGCCATTGAGAAAGCAGGTCTCCTGACCTCCTACTCAGCAAACAAATTTCCATCTGAGTATGAACCAACTGTTCTTGACAACTATGCAGTCACAGTGATGACTGGTGGCCAGCCATACACTCGTGGACTTTGCGATACTGCAGGGCAAGAGGCTTAGGTCAGATTACGACCACCGAGTTATCCACAAACAGATGTATTTCTAGCCTGTTTTCCAGTGGTCTCTCCATCCTCATTTGAAAAGCTGAAGGAAAAGTGGGTGCCTGAGATAACTCAGCACTGTCTGAAGACTTGTCTTGCTTGTTGGGACCCAACTTGATTCAGAGATGACCCTCAGCTACTGAGATCAACTTGACCAAGAGCAAACAGAAGCCCATCACTCCGGAGACTGCCGAAAAGCTGGCTGGTGACCTGAAGGCTGCCAAGTGTGTGGCGTGTTCTGCACTCACACAGCAAGGCCTAGAGAAGGTACCTGACGAAGCAGCACTGGCTGGCCCGGAGCCTCCAGGACCGAAGAAGGGCCGCAGGTGTGTGCTGCTGTGAGCATCTCTCCTGGGCCCTTTCTGCACAGCGGTGTCAGCATCACACTAAAAGCAACGTTTCGATCAAACTGAAGACCAAAAATTAAAATTCATTTTTGAAGGCGCGCACCTATGCATGTTCACTTGTGTCAAACAAGGCCCTGGGGCGCGGTCCCTTTCTGCCTCTCGGTGCTGCTTCATTTTGAGTAATCGTGTACTGCCAGAAAAGTGATCAGCCCTAGTTTTTGTCTTTCAGAAAAAATCGTGTTTGTCTGTTTAAAAGCAAGGATGCTTGTGATGACCCTGTAACGGCCACCTTCGGGTCCTTGAAGCTGCTCCCGGGTTCCCCCTGGAGAGTGACCAGGGACATCTGGTTTTATTTTCCTTACTTTCTTTGTCTTGGGGGGGGGTAGGTGGGGGAAGTGTGTGGAGGGTTTGTTTTTACTTAGTCATTTTTTTAAAATTCCTTAAGCCCTGGACAGCCCTTTAGAGGAGGAAGATGGATTCCACATTTCTCTTCCTAGATCTAGTTTGGAAAACATGCTCCCCACCTGGTGCTCGTAGGGAGTGGAGCAGGCGCCTCACTGAACAAAAGCTCCCTTTTGAAAGGTGCCTTTCTCTCCACCCTTGAGTGGCTTCTGCCTTTGGTGAAACTCATGAAAGTGGGCGGGACCTGACTTGCCCCTCCTCTTTTCTAGGATGCACTCCAGACCTGCCCGACTTTCAAGGAAATGTTAGCCATTTGCTGATTTTTTTGAAGTTAATGTCTAACTTCTGTCCCTGATAAATGAAGAAAAGTATGGCACCTTTTGAAATAACACCAAGTAGGCTGAGTACATAATTTAAAAAAAAACACAACATTTCTTCCTTGTTATTGTTTAATACGGTTAAGATAAAGGTGCAGCTTAACAGTGTGTGATGTGACATGATGTCCTAGAACACATGGGGACCTGGCACCCCTGAGGGGTGCCGCTGGAACACGGATGTCTGTGGGGTGATTCACATCCTGTTTCCAGTTAAGGGATGGAGACCCGCTTCATGAAGAAGCTAGGGGTGGGGTGGGGAGGATGTGTAAAAACATGGGGACCAGCCAGGGGAACCCCCTTATTTGTTTGCATGAGGAACCCTAGAGCAGCCAGTTGAGGCTCTCTAGTCGAATAAAAATCATAGACATCTTATGAAAACTCTTCTTAAGTGTCAATGGGGATTTTATCAGCTGATTTTGGTTGAAGTTTGCAATTCTTGAAATATCTAGGTAATCTCCACCTTCCCCAAATCCTAATTCTTGGAGATTTGTTAGCGTTGAACCGATGCATTCTCATGTCTCGATTCTTTGTATACACATTCTGTTCAGACTTATTAAACAAAGAACCCTACACAGACACACTAGAGTGTGTGGCGACTATAATACTGTGACAGAGAGGGCGAGGTGACAAGATTGGGAAGATGCAGTAATGTATGAACCAAACAAGAACACTATTCAGACTGAAAGGGGCCCTGGGACCCTGGGAGTAGTTACGCAGGACAACAGTGGGCCCATGCACTATCCCAGGCAAATTGGAACATACATACGGTCACCCTGGCCAAGACAGTGCTTTGGAGGGGCACCTTGTATCGATGTGAAGTTCAGGAAAAGCTTCTGAAGGAGCAAAGATCTGAATAGGAAATTAGGGGTTTTTTTTTGCCAAGTGGCTCTGTTGGTTGGATTGTCGTTCTGTGCACCAAAAGGCTGCAGGTTCAATTCCCAGCCAGGGCACATGGCCTGGGTTCCTGGCCAGGAATTATAAGTAGAGCAGTTTCCCTCGGAGCAGAGAAAGTATGTATGTGAGAACAGGGGTGGGTATAGACAGAGGTGAAGCTGAGGAGTTGGCAGGAGGCCGAGCTGGAGGGTCACACGTTGTCACAACAGACAGTTTTAATTTTATCCTAGAGGCAATGACGTCTACTGCAGGGGAGTCCCCAGGAATATCTGCTGTTAGAAGGACCACACTGGATGAATGTGGAGAATAGAGGGAGCACAGCAAGAGCTGCAGACAGAAAGGCCAGCTGGCAAGCTCTAGGAGAGAGCTGCAGGTGGCCAAAGCTGAGGGAGCGGCAGTAGACATGGAGAGAATGAGCTAGGAGACAAAGTCAGTTTTGATTGGTGGGGTCGTATGGGATATCCAAGTGGAAATATCCAGCTGGCCAGTATCTAGATGAGTCTGAAACTCATTCATATACTATTCAACAAAATTTATAGAGAATCTACAATGTGCCAGGCACTGTAATAAATGCTGGTGATGCAGTTGTGTACATTCAGACCTCGTACCTAATTCCATGAAATTTACAGTCTAACGGTGGTGAGTAATAAAGAAGTATTAACATACAAACATATAAATATATAAATGTATGAGACAGTGATAAGCACCACACGGAGAATTAAGGTATGATGATGTCATTAGTGACTGGGCAACTCTAAATGGGATTGTCAAGCATTGCCACTGAGGGATATTTGAAGTGAACTCAAACAGAGCTCAGTGACGATAGGACATAATAATGTCATCCGAGGAGAGAGAATATTCCAGACAGAGGGGATGTTTCTGCAAAGGTGCTTATGCAAAATGCAAGTTTAGTATTGTTCAAGGAATGACAGAAGACAGATTAGTAAGGTTTTGTAATTCAAAGCAGACTTTATATTTTAAGTACTGTGGGAGATCACTGGCAAGTTCAAAGCAGGGTAATGAGCTGGTCTACATTTTACGTTTCTCTCAGGTGGGAGCCCTGGCAGTATCGGATGGGTAGTTACAAGCTAGGATTCGGGAATCAGACAGACTTGAGTGTGAATGCTGCCACGAAATAGCTGTGTGGCCTTAGAAAAATAATTTTGTCCCTCCAAGTCTCAGCTTCTGTATCTATCAAATGGGGAGAGTAACAATTCCCACCTTACAAATTAAGCTGAATGACACAAGCAGGTGAAGGACTTCCCATGGTGCCAGGGTTTAGTGAGTGCTGAATAATGTTGGATATTATTACAAATGATCATCCCACAATCTAGGCTGAGGTGTGCTCAGTGTTAGAGGGAAATCTGCCTACAGGTAAAGGTATTCATTCATTACCCATGAAATAATTCATAGCAATGGAGTTGATAATGAATGTCAAGCTCAATAAATTCTTGACCTTGAATATAATTTTATAAATGTAAAACACTTTAAGAAAACTGTCAGTCCAAGCATCCAGAAGCAAACAACTAAGATATTGGTCATAAATTATATTGGACACACAACAAGGATTATTCAAGCTACCCCTTTTGTACTTTAAGAGAAAGGAAATAAATATAGAGCAATAAGCATGTAGAGTTAGTCTTTTTTATGGATTTTAAATTAATCTTATTGTGGTCTTGAAACAAGTGTTGAACTGGAAGAAAGTAACGTTCTTTTGTTACATAGTTACAGGCAGCAATATATATACAGAGAGGTGAAGTTTTAGGTATACACATTTGTAACTAGATTCTCAAGCTGAATGATGGCTCAATGCAATTTACATAAAATATCATGGGACTCCATATGCAAAATTTAAATTACAATAAAAGAATCAATCTGCAAACAACAAAAAAAAACCCACATAAGACATTCTTCCTAATAATGCTAATGGGATTTGGACCAATGGTGTTAGAAAAGACTAGGAAGCCCCTTATGGAGAATTGGCAACATAAGCCAACCTTTTATAATGGATTCCAAGATCTGTGATTTGTCTTCATTTTCTTAACCGTTAAAAATTGGTAATTGGACTCAGGAATGTTATGAGGTCTTTATCACTAGAACATTTATTTAGGAGTCATTTACAAGTGTCTATAAATCCTATGTACCAGGCACTCTGCCAATTGCAACTATACAAAATTAAACAGGGCTGTTGATACTGACCACTCAACGGGGAAGAAACGTCCCAGAATCCAACACCTTTCTTCTGCAAATACACTGGGGGTGACAAAAATAATACCCAAGTCTCACTCATTTTTGCACTGACAAGTTTTCTATGATGTGAGGCATACCGGGGCCAATTCAGTTAATTATTTTATAGGCAATTCTCAAAGCAAGGTGCTCACTTTGGTTTTCAAAGTTCTGTTCTTACAAATAGACCAAAACCCCTCTTTAATCCAAGGTTGCCTCCTCTCTCCTCCACTTATGGACGAGCCTCCTGAGGGCCTATCCTTATGCCCAGCTCACATGGCCTATGACTTTATCTGGTGCTTCAAGGATCCGATTTTCATCTATCATCTTAGTCCTTACCTGATTGCCCAGAACGGCGGTGGCACAAGCTGTGGACACCTCTTTGGGCCCAAACCACACTGAGGCGATGCGGGAGGGCAAGCCCAGGATGAACACCTGGGCCACGGAGCAGAGGGACTGGCCCAGCATGGTGACCCAGAACAGATGCTGCTGCACACTGCCGCACTTGATCCAGGCGCCCAGGCAGTTGAGGCCGGAGCCCAGCATGGCGGTGAGCCGCAGGCCTCGGGTGTCCAGCAGCCAGGTGGCCGGGAAGATGAGGGGCACGTAGGCCAGCATGTACACCATGGACAGCCAGTCGATATGCAGCGAGGAGACACCGTAGAAGCCCTCAAAGACGTTGCTGATGATGCTGTACTGGATCCACTGGAAGGCATTGACCAGCGAGTACAGGCTGAAGATCAGAAGCACCACAAAGCGCCGCGCAGAGAGCGCCGTCCGGGGCACCAGGGAGCCCTCCGCCCCTGGGGTCTCCTTCCCGGGGTCCGTGGGCAGCAGCCGAACCTGGGTCTCCTCCTCTAGGGCCAGCTGAATCTGCGGGATGCCCAGGGCTCCCGAGGCAGCCGCGGGGCTGTCCCGAGAAACTCCATTCAGGGCCAGGCAGCAGGCTTCGGGCTCGCTCTGCGACCCCGCGCTCATCTTCGCGGCTGGCGAGCCCCCCGGGACCGGGAGGTACCCTTGTGCAGGCGCCTGTCCCGGCGCTGCCGCTACCCGCTCCTCGTCGTCCGGCCGCGCCATGTCCACGGGCTCGCGGGCGCCGCCCCTCGCCCCCTGCCTCCTCCCCTGCACTGCACCCCCGCCCAGCACCCGAGGCCCTCCCTGCACCCCAACCTCTCGGCCCACTGCTCCGGGGGCCCTTTCTCCCGCGGAGGGAGGCCGAATGTGAGATGTAACCACAAAATGTGATCCCAGATCCGCCAGCAATGTAATTCTCCCCACGCATAGCAGGGGGCGTCTGGCCAGCCCGGAAAGTGCGGCATCACCGCGCGTTCGCGTTCGCGGCCCACCGACCAATGAGCGAAAGCCTCCGCGCCGCGGGAGCCAATGGGAGAGTTTCCGGGGGGAGGCGGGGCGGCAGCGAGTTTGCAAGCCAGCTGCACTGAGTCCGGGGACCTGGGCATGACTTGGCGGAAAGCGGCCCTCGGAGTAGGCGACTCCCCGCGGGCATCGAGGGGCGGGACCCACGGGGGAGGGAAAGAGGCGGGCATCACCCTCGCCACCAAGAGGGGCTCCCCTCAGGCTGGTCGGATACTCACGGCGAGGAGGAATTTGCGCTCTCTCCCCAGCACAGGTGTTCGTTAAGGTCAGACCCTGCCTTTAGAGCAAGACAGAGCCACGTTTCACAAATCCGTGCTCTCTCCTCAAAGGAAACACGCCAGAAAGGCTTCCGATCCGAGTAAAGAGATTTCGTTAGAAATGTGTTCTCGGGAAGTTGGAATCCCCCCACCTCCACGTCGCCCCACGTCCCAGTGAGACGTGGGACGAGGGAGCAGAGCCCGTCATTTAGCGTCCGCCCTTGGAGCAACACCCGTAGTTAGTAATTATGGGACACGCACATTCAGTGGGTTCAGTGGGTTCCAGGTACCAAACTTGTTTTGAACGCTGTGTGCCAGATGGGCTCTGGTGAATGGAAAATAAAAATGGGACATAGTATCTGCTGGAGAGTCCACACGTAGCCGTGCGAGTCTTCCTGGAACTGAGAAAAAGTTGGCCCCGCTACTTTTTTCCTGCTACTTCTTGAGAAGCAAAATTACAAAAGAAAAAAAAGGCTCCAAATAATCATTAAACTGAAATTGAAATTGAAACTAGAGTTTTCTCACAATAGATTTAACCTTGAATACACTATTAAATAAATATTTACTGAATGATTGCACCTAAGAAGCTTTGAATATTTACAATAATTACTTGTTTTGTAAATGAATACCTTTCCCCTAAAACTTGTAAATTTTCTCCACAAATACGAGTTTCTAAACATTTACATATTATATTGTTGAGCATTGTTCTCTAAATGAACAAATAATTAAATGTAGAATCCAGAAGACTCCAGTCTTAGCTAAGAAGTTTATTTTATGGATTTCTGGAAAAAATGAAGTCATAAATTGCATTGGTTAATATTCGGTGCAACTTATTTGATATTTAGAGGCATTTTTTAGTCCTTCATGTACAATGAAAACTACATAGCTCACAATAAACAAACAAACAAAAGCTGTTCAGAGAGGGAATCCAATGGACAGAATTTTAAATAGAACTTTCTTGGCTTGCCCCAGGTGCACCTTCATTCCACGTGTTCACAGTAAACATCCAGGTAACTGCAAACTTCCCAACCCCCTTTCTGAAACTAGACCCTGGAAAATTATGTTAGGCCTCATTTCCTCTGCACAGAGACTGCTTCCTACATGTGTTTCTGCAGGCAAGCCATTCTTTCTGTTTAGGCTCCTTCTGTCTATAGATAATTTGTCCTCTCTTTGTCCCTTGCAAGAAGGATTGTGTTGGGAGTCCACTGGGTATCCTGGATACCAGTCAGCATCTAATCCTGCCCCCCCACCCCTGTAACATATTTATCAGCTGTTGCCTGTCCTACTCTCGCTCACCTTGTCATTTGCTTTCCCTGTACATGACAAAGCTCTGTATGTAACACTGTCACCATCAACCAGGAGTGGATCACCAAGGGCACCTACAGCCAGGCTACGTAGATTTGAATCTCAACTTCAGTACTCACTAACTGTAAGACCTCACGCACATTACTTAGTAGCTGTAGGGAACCGTTTCGAAAGGTGTGGAAATGTAGCTCAGCACCCATGTGGAAAACCAGTGGGGAGCAAGTCAGCACATAGGACCATGTCTGTGAAGAAGTTCTCTCGTGGGAAATCAGGCCTGCATTATACCTAGGCTGCTTTGTGACTTGCTCTTGCTAAAACTCCCTCACTCTGAGTTCAGGCAGCTAGTACTTGCTGCATTATCTTTAAAGTAACTTCCTGAAGTCTGTGCTAATTCTCCCAAGGACTGAAGTGTAACCAGACCTGTTACTCTTATTGTTCCCTTGCATTTGCAACACTTTTTCCTTGTTAATCTGTAAGAAGTAATCAGTAGCATCCCTTCCATTGCTATCTGTAAAAAGTATTTACCTAAAGCAAACCTAAGTATAATGAATGAAAACCTTCTTTGCTGTTTGCTATTAGAAAGCCAATAAAAACTTGTCAAGGTAAGGGTCAGGGTGCTCTTCTCTTGAGAGAGTAGCCGTACCATCCCTTTTCCTACACAGGACTCGGTAGTCCATATGAATTTGTTTTGTCTCATTCATAACACTGTGGACACTTCAGGCTGGTGTCTGTGTCAAGTAGCTGTTCTGAAACAGTACGTGTTTCATAGGATTGCTACTACGAGGATCAAGAATAAGTAACTAAGAATGTCTAAACCTGCGTATGGTTTAGACATTCGTAGTTAACAATTATTCAGGTAGTCTACGATAGTGCTTCAGGGTCCAGACTCCAGGTCCAACTGGCCTGGATTCAAATCCCAAGTCATTCACTTATTAGCTGCATGACTTTGGACTGCTCTGTGCCTCAGTTTCTACAACTGGAAAATAGAGACAATATTCTTCATGAAAATAGTGTGGGGGCTAAAAAATCTAAAGCACTGCCCTGGCCAGTGTTGCTCAGTGCTTGCAGTGTGGTCCCCACACTGAGACGCTGCAGGTTGCACTTCCGGTCAGGGCGCGAGCCTGCATTGCAGTTTGGTCCCTGGGTAGGGGTGCACACAGGAAGCCACTGAGTGATGTTTCTCTCTCACATTGATGTTTCTCTCTTTCTCTCTCCTCTCTCTTGAATCAATTCCTCAGGTGAGGATCAAAATATATATACATATGTAGCACTTAAGTGGTGCCCGCCTGACTTCTGACCTACAGTAATAGTCTGTAAATGCTACCATAAGTCCTCAAAGTCATATCTCATTCTCATTGTTATCTTAGATTTGACTCCGTCTTATCTATGCAACCCTGCATGGATTGTTCTGGAATTACTCCAAGTTTTTCAGACTGGATTTATGATTGCAGAGCCTCTCCCTAGAGGTGCTCTGTGGATGACCCTAAAGGGTGGCACACGGTGATGTATACTAACTACCCTCTACCTGACAAGGGGCGGATTTCTTATCATTGGAGGTGGCCAGCTGTTGACTGGACCACCGTGTGACATCCCTAACAAGGGTTAGATGCCATCATGTTGGACCGTGCATGTGGTATCACAAAACTCCACGGAAGATCAAGATATGCAACATCTAGAATTTCTTCTGATTTTAATTTCTGTGACTCATAAAAAGTAAAATTAGGTATTTCCTATGAAAGTCCTAGACAAAACCTCACACGCCTACTGTAACTAAGTTCTGTAAAAGAAAGAATAAAGTAAGGAAAAGGAGAAACTCAGCAGTGTCTCTCAATAATGTCATTCTAATCTCTTGGCCTTACCTCCTCTCTCTGGAGGCTTCAAAGGCAGGTATCCATTAACCAGTTTAGGCATAAATCATGTAAATATCATATGTTTGGATGTGTAACATACCATGAACCGTAATCTCTGCCAGCGAGAGCCCTGCCGGGGGGCAGCACCTGGCAGGGAGTCAAGATGAGACTGAGCCACTTCGAATGCCAAGTCTGAGCCAGATTTGAGTAAGTAACAATCCAGTGATATGAGATCTAAACGGCGCCCAGAAGTCAAGGTCCAGGAAGCTATTAGGAGTGATGTGGCTGTCCCTGAGCAAAGGTTTTTCCGCCGTTTAAAAGCTGCAAACCAGAACAATGCCACTAGCTGTGAAATCCACGTTTCATGGGCTGGGGAGTAAATTTTAACAGGCTTGCGTTGAGTTTGCACCACTATTACCACACCCTGTCCACCAGAACAGCCACCGTTCTACTCTGTGGGATGGATAAGTTGAGAATGAAGGGATAGAGGAGGCTTAACCACTTTCAGGATCTCTTTAAGAAACTGGCATCAACATTAAATTACGAAAATAGATATAAGGCCTCCAAAGAGACCCTGAAGCTTCATCTATATTAGATTGATGGTAAATCTGCATCTGCTTACCCTTCCCACCTATTGCAACTAATATCTTCATTGCCTGGTTTGCACTAAAAAGGCTGTGCAACCTCTTTACATGTTCCCTGTTGACCCAGTACTCTGAAGTTCATTTACTGGAACTGTGATGAGGGTATTGGACCAATGAAAATAGACTTCCATCTCCCTCTCAAACCCTGGCCAACCCAGAGCATTTACTAAGGAGTCTTCAGAGTTGTCTATGCTTAGAGTTGGGAGAATAAACAACTCCTGAAAACAGTATTTAGAGGAAATGCCAGGTGGAGCCAGGCCACAAGGAGAAATCAAGTTCCTAGTCCAAGAGGTATAGGTGACAAAAGGGAACACAAGCATGGAGCCCAGAAACCAGCTGAGAGAGACAGCAAGTCTGAACTGGAAGGTAGGGAGTGGAGTGGAACAATGCCAGGGTTGATGAGCCAACGCTGGCGAACTCATGGGTACGTGTGTGTGCACACACATCTACCATACGTGCTTCAACACATCCTTCCCTTGGTGAAGATTATGGACCAAGGGGGATCAGGCCCATTGAAACTTTGGGAGAGAAGGTCTTGGTGGTGGGGGCATCTGGGGGCTGAGTCATAGCAAAGTGGAGTCAGTAACGAATATCACCTGCTTCACTACTGAGCCTTGAGCTAGGCCAGTCACTAACACTTAGGAGGGGTGATGGGAAGCAAGAGAAAACTGGATCACTTTCATATTGTTGGAGAAGAGGAGAAGGACACTCTGGAGGGTGAGAAAAGGGCACGTGGGTGGGAACTGAAATGGCATTTGGGGGGAACTGGTCTGGCTACAGTGGAAAAGAAGGCAGCTGGGGGCCAGATTGTGCAGGGCCTTGAATTTTAAGTTAAGGACCCTCAGTTTTATTCTCTAAACCTTAAGGAACTACTGAAGTTTGACTGGAGAAGTGTTACCAGACTAAAGAGGTCTGTTCAGCTGTGCACCTTAAAGATCAATCAAAAGCGAACAAGAGCCCTGGCTGGTGTGGCTCAGTGGGTTGGGTGGCATTCTGAAAACTGGAGGGTCACTGGTTCAATTCCCGGTCGGGGCACAGGCC